GATGGTTTTAAGGATTTGGACATCTTCAATGAATCATATATGACGTGTTTGAAGTGTTGGTTCAAGAGTTTGGTGGTTGGAAATGGTTTTGGATGAGTCTCTGCAAAGGCAGATTTTCTTCACAAAGAAGTAACCTCTACCACTTGCAAGAAGGTTGTGATCAGAGAAATGAGAGAGATTCAACTTGATTTGTAGTTGATTCTGGTGTTTTTTGGAGGTGAGGAGTGTGTTATATTTATAGGCAATCTTGGAGAATGAGAGGTATGGGCAGATTGTGCTAACTTGCCAAGTTTGCCCTTTTTTGAGGCAAAATGAGCAAATCCAACTTGGGATCTCTTTTTTGAGCATGAGCCACCTCCCTATGTGTTTCATCATCATCAATAGCCTGAAAATAGTTGACATGAAGTGAAGGAAAGAGAGCAGCTGATATAGTAGCTGAGGTGTGGCAGAATTTGTAACAAGTTTCTCTCTCCTTGCCACTTGCATCCACTTGCAAGAATAAACAATTCAATATAATCCAATTCTGGTTTTTGCTCAAGGAAATGAATTGTAATATCATCAATTAATGAGTTAAGCAAGTTATTATAATAGATTTGAGTGGTTTATGCATCAAAATGCAAGTGCTGAACTTGGTTTTATGACATGAAAAATGCCTAACTTTCCCTCTTCGATTCTACCTAACCACAAAGGCTGAGAAAATGGTGTTGTAATTTTTAAAAATCCCCAAATATGATCTAAAACATTCATGTTTAGCCAAATTTAAAATTCCAAAGGGAACTAGGTCAAAAATCCTCATGATGTTTGTTGCAAAAGTTGACTTACAAGCTAAGAAACAAGAAAATTTTCTAAGTGTGGAAATCCTTCATAACTTGATGAGCTCATAACTCCAAATCTATGCATTTTTGGACTTCAACCCTCTAGGATAATCTTGTAGGACTTCTTAGGAGCTTTCCAACCAGCTTTGGACTACTCAATTTGGATGTGTGGTTTGAAAGTTATGATCATTCCAAATAAGCTTGTAATTAGGGTTTTTCATAAACCCTAATTTATTTATTCACAAGTTATCCATCAATTCTTGATTAAATCTTCACCAAACTCACTATTTAGGCATAAAAGTATGTTTGAAACCTTGATTGCTTCAATTTGGGGTCAAAACCGTAAAAGTCAAAGAGTTTATTTCCAAACAGACGAACCGAACAATTGAAATCTTCAGGATCGATCCTTAGTGTTTTGGGGTTTCTTGAACCTTCCTTACTTCTTTAAGGGACTTCAATAAGTCATAGAAACATCATGGACCATGGTTCAAGCTCTGAAAACCTATTTAGACCAAAAGTCAAACTATAGTTGACTTTTTCAACTAGAAACCCTAATCAGAGTTTTGCACAACACTGCTCAAATTCTCTTGGTAACAACCTCAAATAGCACTTGTTCTTGGTAATATATGAACCTCTTGATAGTTTGAAGACTTGATATGCAGAAGATCAATTCAAAACTTTGACTGATAAGTTTGCAGGATTCTTGATTTTGACAATGTGAAACCCTAATTCATCTGTATTTTGACAAAGACAAACTTGAAAGGGGTTATGGTTAGATAACATATGATTGATGCACCTAGAATGATAATGGAACCTAGGGGTTAAAATTTTGGGTATGACAATGATGTTGTTGGAATTTTACCGAGTCCCTTAAATTTTAGCTACAAACTATTTACTAGGAAACATGTCTCAGACATTGCTCTCCTCAATCTTTTGAATTTTGGTGAAGTAGGTATGTTTATAGTTTATAATATTCTTGAAGTCCCTCTCATGTTTGGAGCTGCTAGAGGCCACATTCTAGATGTTCACATGCATGAGTTCAAAGCTTTACAAGATATGATTGATATCTCAACTACAAGAAAGGTGTGGTTAATGGTCTTATACAAATAATGAATCCCAGGGCTTATGGGGAATCCACTTCTCAGAAAGCATGTCAAAATGCTGAGAAATCTTTTGAAACATCAAGTGAAAATGAAGGACAAGGTAGTAGTGAAGATGATGAAGATATGGAATTTTAATCTGTCTCCAATGATGATGACTTATAATGACTGTATGGTTGATGATGAAATTTTTTTGGGTTTTTGATTAAATGTTCTATAAGCCATTTGTATGGCATGATTTTGGTTATGCTTCTCTACATCTCTGTGCATTTTTATTACTGATGATGTGATTGCCACTGAGTGTGAGGGAAAATATTCTTTTACCTCCTTTGTTAGGTTGTTTTATGTTCCTGGTTTTCTAGTTTCCTCCTGTATGACCTTTATGAGCCAAATAATATTTTCCCTTCCTTTTTCCATTTGTGGAAAATAGGGGGAGAAGAAATGCACTTAATTTTTGTATTTTAGTTAATGCAAGCAAGTGTTTCCTCATGATGATGTGGTTTTTGTTAACATGTTTCTTATTTAGTTTTTTCGCACTCTGATGCTGGTAAACATGTTTTTCAGAGACTTGTCTAAAAGAATGTCTGTAAGATTGTGGGTAACATCTTGCATGTTTATTTTCCTAAAAATTGGCCAAATGAGAAGTTTGTTCATACATGTGATTGTTAATATTTTATAGGCAACATGTACAACAAGATGTTCTGCCAAGTTGTAAGACATCTCGTCTCTAAGTGGTTAAGATACTTAAGTAGGAAGCAACATGTTAAGCATGTTGTCTTACATTGTATGAGTCATCCTGTCTCGCTCAAGGTTACTTCGCGGTAAGCTGGTAGTAGTAATTCTCTCGCATTTGGTGATTTGTTTCCTTTTATGTACAATCAGATATTTGACTATTTTTGCACGTTTTAAAAATTAAGGAAAGATTTAATCTGAATTAGTTTTAGCAAGATTGAATTGGTTATATTTAATAGATTCAGATTTATTCAATATTTAATTAACCAGAATTTGCAATCAACTTTATATAAGATTGATCCCATGCGCTTTTGAAGGCTAAGCTACATTCAACTCCAAACTCTAGTGGGCTTTCTAGTTGGATTACTGTTGCTATTTAAGAAGACGTTCTCCTTTGTGATGATTCAGACCTTGCATTGTTTAGCTTGACAATTTTTATGAAGTCTTTTTTTGTGTGTTTATTTTATAATACTATATTCTCAGGTCATGTTTCTAAGTTAGGAAAATATAGTATTTAAGTTATAGCATTCTTTATGATTCACATACTTTTGTAACTATCTAAACACTTGGAAAAGTATATAAATGAAAGTGAAAAGACTCTTAGATTAGGGGGAGTTAGGATCAAAGTTTACGGGTAATATTAGGAAAAGCGAAATTGAATTGGGAGAGTTCAAATCAGACCAGTTTGTACTTCTGACTATTAAGAGTGAATTTCCTTTCATTGGGTTAACGCTCTCAAAAAATATGTGATATTACACTGAATTGGATTACCTATTCATAGAGCTGTCAAAATGGGATCGGCTCATCATACCGACCCACCAACCCTATATTTTAGAGGGTTCGGGCCAAAAAAAAACCTTTAAAAAACGCAACCCTATCTTTTTGGCCCATCCCATCGGATCTATGTTTTTCATGGGACGGGCTGGGTTGGTCATGTGGGCTTTGGGCTGACCCATGAAAAATAAATTTATAAAATAGTTTTAGTTGATTTTAGAGAAAAATTATTGAGTTAAGATATGATTGCATAACTGATTAAAAAAATAGCAAGTGCACTATTTTTGTCGATCGTAGTTAAAATATGGGTTTTATCCCCAGTATCGATCTCAATGAGATTAATGTTATGAATGTCTACAACGAAGGCTTTGCAGTGCTATCAATGGAGGAATATTGGCCTCCATACCAAGGTGACATAGTTTGGCACCACGATGGGATGCGAAGAAAGAAAAAGAGACGCCCAAACAGCAAGCGTATAATAACCGAAATGGATACAGCTGATAAATTGATAAGATTATGCAGTATATGTCGTCAGCCCGGACACAACCGAAAAAATTGTCACAATGTCGGAGCAACATCTGCATCGTGATTTAGCTTATCGTTGCAGATGAATTGCCGACTCCTCTTTAAGTATAACATCAAAGCATCAATTGGATTGGAGATTACATGAGATGTCTCCAATCTAATTGGCGACTCCACTCATGCCCTAATAAAGGGCCGCCAATTGGTATGACGCTTACATGTAATCAGAAGTTTTAACTGGAGTAGTTTGAAAAATATTTTAAAAAATGTGGTATTTTGGGATTTTTTTTTTTTTGAAAAAGTGGATTAATTAGTTAAAGAATTCAACAAAAGGCATGGAAAGTAGACTCGTGGTTTGGCATGTAGAAGCATTGTTCGGAATAAAATATTATATTGAAAGTTGATCGATGAATACAACTCCAAGTAGTGGAACAAGTTGCTTGTTGTATTCGTTTGTTCAACAAATCGTGCTTATCCTCAGCCTCTCAAGCAGGTTCAATTCTGGCCTCCATTAAACCACCACGGATCGGTATAACTCTTTCCTTTTTTTCCTTATTGTGTTGATGTTGGTGTCCTTGCTGGATAATTTACGCATTGGTATTTTTCCATTCCATATTGATATGATTTTGCTCTTAGGATGTTTGATAAAAGTTCCCAATTGAGTTGTGGGTATGTGTTTGTTGCTAACCCTTTCAATCTACTTTGTGCTGCTGTTGTTTTTATTTTGACTGGAATAAGTGTGCTATTGAATTGCTTATAGAATATCTCAACTGAATTATGATTTTAGGAAACCACCATGTATGAAAATAAAAATTTGCTCTGTATAAAACAATCATAAAATTGAAGGGTGTTTCCTAGACACTGAAATCTTTGTATTCTTTTCTCTGTTATTAGATTGGGTACTATATTGTTTAAGAATTTGTATTCTACTACATATACTAAAATTACATATTATTTCCCTCCTATGAAGACCCAAATTTTCGCAATTTCCCCTTTGAATTATTTAACTGATAGTTACATAAGAATAAACAAAGTATTTTAATTTTAAGCTCCAATTTCAGAAGTACTCCTTATGAAATTCAAAGCGTGTGGTTGTCTTATGACTGAGCTCAAGTGATAGCTTTTTTAGCTCCTTTGCAAGCACCGGCATCCCGCAATAGAACACACCTGCAAGTATTATGCATCATTTTCTTGTTAGAAACTTACTAATATCATCAAGTAACAAAAATTATATTGAGGTTTACAAGTCACTTCAATCTTCTTGTCACCGTCTCAGTCTCCTCTTTATTGTAGTTTGCAATCATAATTGCAAGTGCAGTAGTATAATTTGAGAGAAATAGTTATGCAATTTTTGCAAGCAATTTATTACCTACGGTAGAATTTGAATGTTTTGAAGCTATTTTTGTGAAAACTTCTTTCCAATTAGGCCTAGCAAAGTGTGTCCTCACCTACAATCGAAAAAACAATACATTTTTTGTTATTTTTTTGCTTGAGATGAAATCACTATGAATTGAAACAGTAATAGTTCTTAAAGTATTGAATATCTCACTTGAGTGCCTGATAGAATGTCAACACCATGTTTGGCATGGTTTAATGCTTGGATCATTGTGATTAAGGTTGATCTTGCATCGCCTTCTTCATAGACACTTGTGAGATAGTTGTGCAGCTCAATCAGACCCTAACAATGGTTAAAAGTATACAAAAACAAGAATAGTTATTATTAACTATGTAAAGATGGTGTTTTTTTAGTTATGCATACATTGCAATATTATTTTTTGATATGATATAAGTAAGATTGAATGTTACTTTGTGGTCCATTTCTGCAACTTCATCCATTACTCCTTTAAACCATTCAAAAGATCCAGGTTCTCTGGTAACCCAATAAAAGTAAGCATTTGTAATCCTTTGCAATCTCTTGTGTCTTCCCGGCGTTACATTTGAAGAGGTGAAACTATTGAAACTCTCATCTGATTTAGTTGTTTCTGTGTTTGAGTCCTGCACTTGGCCTTGTTAAAGTTTACAGGTGATGTAATCAACATTACAAAAATATCTAAAAAAAAGAGCAATGATTGTACCGTTTGTTCGTCTATTGTTTTCGTGTCACTCAAAAGATCTCTGAGAATACTAATGAAGGGAGTTGCTCCAATTCCTAATCCTATGAGCAGCAATACATCAAAATTCTGGTAATCTTGTGCCGGAGCTCCATACGGGCCATCAACGAGCAGCTTCGGCTGTCTGTAACAAAATTTTAGTTTGAATGATTTACAATTTTGTAAATCAAAATTATTTGAAAACATGAGTTGGAGTTTTAAAGTGTAGCCACGACATGTCGTAATATTTGATATTGCAAAGAATTATAATCAAATGTGGTTGATGTGACCTGAAAACTCTGATAAAATTCTTAAATCGGAGTTCTATTGTAAACCCTTTTTTTAAAACTCTTATATGTGATCTATACTTACCCTATTTGATCCATTTGTATTAGTTCTCCGAATGTTGCTCTGGAATTTACCGGAGCCGATTGGTCATCTTCGGTGAAAAGTAGCTTAAGTTCTTGTGTCCAGTCACCTACCGTTCGAATGTGAACACTTAGATAATCATCTCCTGGTGCTGATGTAATAGAGAATGGGTGCCTAAAAAAATCAAGATCTTATTCGCATGTGCTAGTGCATTGTAAAATTTAGTATGATTAAAAATCGAACTAAGAGAAGAACCACACTAACCACTCAAATGGAGAGATTTTCGGGCATTGTAAAAATATGTACTGACCACTTTTGTACTTGAATCCATTAGGCTTTGACATGATTAAGCTAAAGACATTTCCTGGTAGCACTGAAACCTGCTAAGTCAAATTTAGAAAAATTAAATTGAAGTTACTATCAAACCATTAAAAGTAGACAATGGAGTGTTGATTTATTTTTATTACCTTCAAAACTTTTACTGCATAATGTTGCGATCTACGAGTTCGTAGAGTACGTTCTGCAATGTACAGCAACAATGGAACAGAGATATACATCCATGTCTAACATCAAAAGTCAATAAAAATATGTTATTGTATATTCATCATCGTTCACTATTCTTCGTTACCAACAAAGATTGTGGTCGAAGTTCTTACCGTTTTCTGGTACCACTTATGTGTCAAATTCAAGAAAGATCCATGAATGAACAGAAGAATGTATACAATACCAAGAAGATGGTGTGAATACCAGAATGCATTAAATCCTGTTAATCTGTTGATGGGTGAAGGAAGATTTACTGCATTTCGTCGAAACTGGCTAGTTGCAAGAGTAAATGATATAACCATCAAAGTAACCATTGTGATTCCTGTTACACCTTCAATGCTAATCAAAAGTGATTTGTATGTGGGCTTTTTGTTATTGAAATCAGAAGATACTATTGAGAACTTTTCTGGAGATGAATTCACGAGAAGTGGGAAATCGCATGCGAGATGGTTGCCTGCATGGACAGTTATTCCAATAACTATGGCAAATGCAATCATCTGTAAAAATGAATAGATACATGTTAATACTATTTAGAACGTATCAAATATCGATGTGATTTTCTGCTGTTAGATCACATTTAAGCCGTGACAGAACGTGTTAAGAATCTCCTCTTACTTTATGGAAATTAATATTGTCATCAAATGGGACAAATTTCCTAACTTTTGTGGAGCGAAGCCATGTCAATGTATTTCGACAAACCGGTAAAAGAATGAGAGCCATGTTGAACTTGAGTGTCTCTGCCGCGCCTTTGGCTACTGGTAAGCAATAACTCATAATTTCAAAACTTGATCTATTTTTGTACTGGTAAATTTTCCAAGTAAAAAGAGAAGCAATGGTAATCAACCACAGTAACAAAATCCAACCCCTTCTCCAATACTCTAATGCAAGACATTGGAGTGTCTTGCGGATTTTGTTGATCTTATTTTTGGGCCTTAAGCTTGACATATTTTGACTCCAGTTTACACTTGCACTGCTCTGTTGTCTACTGTAAGTCATGTATCTATCTTTTTCTAGTAACAACATTTCTAGCTGCCACAGCTGAAAAAATGGAAGGAAGAAAATTATGAAATGATCGTAAGATTAAAAAAATTTGGTCCAGTAGTCAAGTGAGATGTCGCAGATTCTAATACACGGCCAATCAGATGTCTCTGCACAGCTATTAATTGAACTGACTTATTGACGGATACACAAACATGACTTATTGACAGATACACAACATTTATGAAATAAAATATGGTTTTATTATGTTTTAAATTACTCTTGTTTTCCCTGTCTTACCTCGATATAACCCAGGTTTTCCGGATCCAATTCTTCCATTATTAATGCAGCGTATCCTTCAGCTTGTTCTTTTAGCTTGGACAGATTGTTTGCAGAAGCACTTAACATTATAAGCTGTTGATTAAAAATAAATTTGAAAACAGAGAGTATAATTAAAATAAATTAATTGCTATCTTGAGGATTATTTCCGAAATATAAAAAAAAAAATACTAGTAAACCTTGCCTCTTGTACTTCCTCCCTTGTAATTCTTCCATCTTCATTACTGTCTGCCCTGAAGCAAATAGAATTTTTAATATAACATAAATAGTGATTTTAAAATTAAGTTCCTTTTGTCCCATAGGTAAGGAAGTAACATTGACACGAACAAATTTACACACACTTTATAACATCTCAATTGAAATGATGCTTAGATAAAAGATGCACAAGTCATTATATTGTTAAGAAAATAATTGTATAATTTATCATATTATTGATAAAAAGAGATGCACAAGTCATATATTATAAACAAAGAGATGCACAAGTCAAACCCCTAAGAAAGAAACAAACAAACACTTATATGTGTAATGAATCTTAGATCAAAATTTAAATATTTGAGCGCTTTATATTTTATGCAAATTTCCTACCAAATTCCGCTTAAAGCTTTAAGTAAACAATATAGACATAGAACTTACTCTCACCACAATATATGTGATTATCTCCAATAGAATTTGTCTTAGTTAGATTTTTAAGTAAGTCTCGTAAACTATACTCAATTTTATCTTTTTAGTATCATTAGTATAATAAATAGCATCACGAGGAAGAATTAGGTAAATTTCTCTCTCTATCTTTCTCTTATATTATTTTCTTTCTTAGTTTAACCATTATTATTTTTATTTGTTTCCACATAGAATACCTAAAGTTCTAATATTTTTGAATGAGACATTTTTAATGAGGAAATATAATATATTAAAGGGATTTAAAATAATTTGCATAAAATTTATTATTTGAATAAAAATTATAAAGAATAGTTAAAAGGATACAAATTTATAACTTATTTTATTCAAATTAAATTTTATGATTTTGAAATGAACATTTAAAATAAAATACTTTGAAATTTCTGTCATATGACAAATTAAATATTATTATTATTTCATGTTTTACAAATTGGTCCTCATATTTTATAAATAGATTCATACAATTGGTCTTTAATGAATTTCAAAATTTATAATTTTATTTTAATTTTTAAAATTTTCAACTTAATCCTTATTTTCAAATTTTAAATTTAGTTCAAATATTTTAGAGTTTATAAAAATGATCCCAAAAATTTTACCTTGAATAATTCTAATGTTTTATCTAAAGAAAATATTTTAAAAATTAATAAATTTATATTAAATAATTAAAATTTTAAAAATTTTCAATTTTATAAAAATTTTCAATTACTTCGCCAAAACACACACGTGTACATTTTTCTTTCTAAATTTATTAAAATATAGATCATATCATTCTAATCCATAGCTTTGAAATAATATATTACAATTTTAATAATAAAATAAAAATATATTATTATGAATTTTACAGTACTTTTATTATAAAAGTTTTTCTTTTATTTTTAAAATTAAAATATGATTAAAAGGGTCCCACATAATGACCCATATAAGAATTTTGAAAAAATATTTATACATAGTAAAAAACAAAAATTGTCTTAAGCTTTGAATTTTAATAAAATATATCAAATAATACACGTTTGTTGTAGGTACTAGTTTTTCCTTCTAATATTTTATTATTAACCATAGCACTTTCTCTTATTTCTTAATAATGACAGTAAAGATAATACATCATGATAGCGACATATTACTTACATGTCAAAGAAAATTTGAAGGCGAGCATCAAAGCTCTGGTTTGAAATTTGCAACCAGAACTGACGCAACTCTTCTTTTGTTATCTTGCTCAGTGCTTTTCTTTCCTTACGAGCTAATGCATCAAATATACCCACAGCAAATTCCTTCGAATCCTCCATCCCTTCATTCATAAATCAATATTTAGGAATAAACTATTATCATTAAATTTCAAATTATACAAATTTAATTATACATAAACAATATAAATAATTCTACATTATAACCATTTTATTTCTCATTTATATTTAGTCATGTCCATGATTTTGTTGCTTGATATCACACATGCAGTTGCAGGTGTTGCGGTTACCAGAATTGTAGTTGTTGCAAACTCGTAAATTTTGATTTAGAAGTGTTTGAAATATAATGTGATGTAAATTGAATTTTGGAGTTTTGAAACTTTGAATTTTGATTAAAAAAATTTAACAAAATATTAAAAAAGTTGTCTGGTGTTGTTTCTAGTTTCTGATATTATCCGGTCTAATTTTAAATCACATAACAATTATGAAATTGGGAAGACTATTGCATCAACAATTTTGCTAGTGCAATTGCAGTTGCAAAATCACAATTTAAAACCTTGATCATGTCTCGTGTATTAATTTGCAGAATTTCATATCCAGAACTTCTTCTAAATTACTTAATAACTCCAATTTGAAATATGGAAATAATTTTTTATGGAAAAAAACATTATTCAAGTTTCTTACCCGTAACTAACTACTCTGAGTGTAATTAAAGTTAGTGTGAAGTCAAATTTTCATGTACTAAAAAGACTTCATTTACTCTTCCAAATATTTTCTTAGCATCAAAACAAGATAAACGTACCAATGCATTCTCCAAATTCTTCTCGATCGAGCAAACCATCCTTAGCTAGAAATCCAAACCTCTTTTCAACTTTTTTCCATAACTCCTCACAAGCTTCACCAGACTTACTAATGAATCTCAAACCTTTCAAACCTCTCTGAGCACTCGATCTCGTCCGTTCAAGTTCCGCTCGCATTCTCCGAGCATTCCGCGCCACCATCGGATCCTCTTCCACGGCGGTTACACTCTCCGAAGACGAGGTCGATGACCGCAATGACATCGACCTCAACCACGGAAATTTATTTTTAATCCTCGACGTAATTGAGAGACTCCTCGTGACACCACCGCCGGTGGAGGAGACTCCATCTCTGGCGACGGTGTGACTTGAAGAAGGAGATACGTTTGGTGCAGAAGATATCGGAGCTATGTTGCGAAGCACGACAGATTCGTTTTCTAGCTCCAGTGTTATCTCAACGAGCTCCTTGTGGTGGTTGCTACGGAGGTCGTTGAGAAAAACCGGCAACATTGCGCCGTAAACATGTTTTCCCGCCGTCGGCGATGAGGTTTTGGAATTTTCCGGGAAGTCTGGTTCGGTTTTGCTGGTGGTGCATCTCCTGAACGACGACGTTCTCATGGAAAATTCTAGAACTTGTAATACGGTTAAGGTACTCTTCTTTCTCTCTCTAGAATGCGTGAAACATTCAGAGATAGAGAGAGATAGAAAGAGAAAATCAAAATGTTTATTTTGAGAGTTTTGGAAGGCAAAGAAGTTGAAAGAAAGAGAGGGATAATGGTTCCCACGTTTGGGGTGTGAAGGGTCTGTATAAATAAATGAAATGAAAGAAATGGAAATGCAAAGCTTGGAAAACAAGAGAGACACCTATCAACGAATTTGTGCACACGATTTCAACGCCATTTAGTCTTGACGCATATACAAGAGTAGTTGGGAAATGAGTTCTTCAATCTATACATTACTTTGTTTTATTACTGTTATAGTAAATGTAGAAGAGAATAGATTTAACTATATTTTTAAATTATATCATACCTTTGTTTATGTATCATGGCTTATTTTCAAAATAATTTTTATCATGTAATATAGTTTTATTTAAAAAAAATATATAAAGATTTTTTTTGTAAAAATTTTAAATGAAGATTTGATTTAAATTGTTATTTTTAAAATATTATTTTAAATATTTTATCATGTTATTGATTTTTTTTAATATCAAAATTTTAATAAATCACTTAATTTTAAAGCTATTTCAAATAGTTTTTTTTATAAAAGTCACTTTTGAATTTTAAATTTTTGAAAAAATTGTGATTTCTACCGAGTTTTGATCTTCAATAATGTATGTTTATGTTTTAGAATATCAAAATTAATCTTTTAATTTAAAAAAACAAATATAATAAAACTTTTAATATTTTAAAAAACAGTTTTATAAAATTCATTTTTTAAAATACAAAGAAAAACTCTATTTTTTTTGAAGTTGAAATAAACATGTCATATATATTAGCTAACTTACCTCATTATATAAGAAAATCACTTTTGCATTTTAAAATACACCAAAAAATTTTATTGAGTTTTCTCTTTTTCACTTTTATAACTATGTGTTTTTTAAATTGTGGAACCACCAACTTCTCTCTCTTTCTTTTTACTCATTGAATTTTTCGAGTATTTCTTTGTATTCTCTTTAGAGAATTATTTTAATTTCTTATTGTTTAAATTGAGAAATTATCAAGTATTAATATTTGTATTCTCTTTGGAGAATTATTTGAATTTCTCTTTGTTTAAAAAATTATTTTGAGTGATCAAATGACCATTATAGAATTCTCTTTGAAAAATTATTTTGAGTAGTCAAGTGATTTTTGTACCAGCATAGAGTGTATTTATACATTGATTATCTACCGTATAAGTAGTAATCATATAGTATAAAATTTGACTTTTTTATCTTGCAGGTGTCGTGGTTAAGTGACTACTTTGCACAACTTTGAGTAGTGTTGTGAAATCTTAAAGAGAGCAACCTAGTACGTGACTCGACCCAATAATTTCTTCTGTGGCAAAAGTTTCAAAATCGCAAAATAATAATTTAAGACCTTTCGAAATGTCATGGAAATCAAAGAAATTATTGGTACTTCTATGATTGTTATCTCTGACAAACCGTTCAAGTTTGAGAAAAGTCACTTCAAATGATGGCAACAAAACTTTTAATTTTTTTAGCCTTAAAACAGGTTTCCTATGATTTGATCAATGCCATTCATGTTATTCCTTTGGTATCAACCAGACAAACTAACGGTAAGAAATCTATGGATTTAGATGGAACACTTAATAGTGTTGAAGCTAATTTTGCTGCACAAATTAAAGCGAGCAATATATAGCTGAAGAAAGAAATCACCTTATAGAAAGAGAATGATTTTCTCTACAAAATCATATTCTGAATGGACTCCTAGATGATATGTATGATTATTATGGTAGTTGTGATACTGTAAAACTAGTTTGGAAGACTCTGAAAAAGAAGTATGACACCGAAGAAGTTAGAGTAAAGAAGTATGTCGTTAGTCGTTATCTAAAGTATTAAACGATATGGAAGAAACGTTTGTGGAGGCTCATTATTATGATATTCAAATGATTGCTTAGGATATCATCACCTAAGATATGTCTTTAGAATGAACAATTTCAAATTGTTTTTATTATTAAAACACTACCCCCTAGGTTGAAAGTTTTAAAAAAAATTGTTTTGCCATAAAACAAAAGAAAATTTAATTGAGAGTCTGATTGTTCGCCTTTGAATTGAAGAAGAATGTCAAAGACAAAATAAAAAAGAAAAAGTTTGGTTATTTCAAACAACAAAAGGAAATTCAGTGCAGTTCTAAAGCCATTTGGAAAATGATTAAAGAATTAGAATGAGAAACCTTCAAGGGCCACAATTACTCTAATTGATAGGAAACAACCTTGTGATGCCCCTAATGCATAAGTTAACCTGATTTATAAACAATTTATTACCCTGATCACTAAAGTCAATATGATTGGTGAATTTAATGGTTGGTGGATAGACATTGGCTCCTCTTGTCATGTCTGTTATGATTGTGCAATGTTCAAAATATACACGAATAAGAAAGTGATGTTAGGAGTTTTTCACACCATTAATGTTGCCAATATTGGAGAAGTAAGGCTGAAGTCTACCCTCTAAAATAATTTAATCTTGAAGGATGTCATGCATACTCTCGATGTTATAAAGAATCTTGTTTCTAGTTTTCTTCTGAATAAGGATGGATGTAGTCAGTCTATTGGAGTAGATTTTTACACAATCACTAAGAATGCTATTTTTTTTTAATGAAATTGACATGTTTAAGGTTTTTATGAATAAAATTTAAAATTCATTTAGGAAGAATGAAAGTGAAGGGCTTAATATGTTTAAGACTATGTGAATGAAATTGAAAATCTAGTAAGAAGATTTAGAAACTCCGTAGTGATAGGGGAACTGAATATAATTCTAGTTTATTTTAATGAATTTTATAAACAAAATAGAATTGTACATGAAATGATTTTTCCATATTCATCTGAAATGAATGGAAAACCTAAAAGAAAGAATATAACTTTTACTAAACTAGTCGTTGCTATTATGTTGAATTCTGATGCTGCACCTCACTAGCAGGGAGAAATTTTATTGACTGTTTATTATGTCCTGAACAGATTTCCCAAAACTAAAAATAAGATCTCTCTTTATGAGATATTGAAGAAAATACAACCAAACTTATCTTACTTTAGAACTTAGGGTTGTCTGGCTTATGTTAGAATTTTGGATCCAAAGCGAGTTAAACTCGCTTGTAGAGCCTATGAATGTGTATTTATTGCGTATGGAACAAATTGTAAGACATATAGGTTTTATAAAAAATAATAAAGTTATCATAGAATCAAATGATGTTGAATTATATGAAGATAAATTTCCTTTCAATTCAAGAAATAGTGGGGGCAGTGAATCAAACCACATTCTTATGATAAGAAACATCGAAAGCAATGACGAAGTAGAAATATAACTTTGACCAAGTAAAAGAGTAATAGTTGGTAAAGACTATGGTCTCGGTTATGCAGCATATATAGTAGAATAAGATACAACAAATCTTCAAGAAGCATTGTTGTCTCTGGATGTTGGTTTGTGGCAAGAAGCTATTAACGATGAGATAGATTTTCTAAAATCTAAAAGGACCTGAAATTTAGTAGACTTGCCTTCTGGTTGCAAACTAATTAGTTATAAATGGGTTTGAAAAAGAAACTAAAACCTGATGGAATTTTTTATAAGTGCAAGGCTCGCCTTGTAGCCAAAGGTTTTAGGCAAAGATCAAATATAAATTTCTTTGATACTTTTTTTCAGTCACTAGAACTATATCCATTTGGGTACTAATTCCAATTGTTATTATTTCTAACTTAATAGTACATCAAATAGATGTCAAAATACCTTTTTAAAATGGAAACTTAGAAGAAGAAATATATATGGATCAACTAGAAGGGTTTGATATTCATGGGCATGAAAACATGGTCTTGAAGTTAGATAAGTCTTTGTGTGGTCTAAAACTAGATCTAAAGCAAAGGAATAAAAAGTTTAATAGCTTAATATTATTGAATGAGTACAAAGTGAATGAAAGTGACAAATGCATTTATTATAAATTTGAAAATAGCATTTGCAATATCATATGTCTTTATGTAGACGACTTACTCGTGTTTGGATCAAAACCTTCATGTCGTTAATGATGTGAAATCATTGATGTGTAACAAATTTGATATGAGAGACCACTAAGTAGCCAAAGTAATTCTTGGAGCCAATATCACTAGATCTGGAAAGGAAATATATTTGGACCGATCTCATTATGTCGAGAAAATATCAAAGAAATAAATTAATTTTAACTGTAAACATGCTTGCACACAATCCTAGTGTTGAACTACTTGAGAACACTGCTAATAGTGTTAGACAAACTAAGTATGAGAGTATCATTGGTAGTCATATGTATGCAAATGATTGTATATGACCCGACATTACATATGTCGGAGGATTATTGTGTAGGTTTACAAATAGACCGAGCAATGAGCATTGACAATTCATTGAGAGAGTCATGTGATACCTTAAGAGAACCATGAATCTTAGTTTACATTATTAGAGAGTTATGGATGCACTTAAATGATACAATGATGCAAATTGGAACACCTTATCAGATGATTCCAAAGCAACTAATGGCTATATATTTAGTATACTTGGAGGAGTTGTCCTAGAAATCAAAGAAACAAACTATCTTGGCTCAGTCCATGATAGAGTCTAAAATGATAACATTAACAACTGCTAGTGAAAAAGCAAGTTGACTGAGATACTTGCTAGCTGAGATCCCTTAATGGGAAAAACCTATGTCAGTTGTGTTGATCCACTCCAATAGTAATGTGACTATTGCAACAACAAAAAAGAATCGTTAATGGTAAGAGGCATAAAAAAAGAGGAAGCACAACACTATTAGAGATTGTATCTCTAAAGGAGTTGTAAGAGTTGATCATGTACACACTGATGAAAATATAGAATATCTTTTAACAAAGGAATTAGCAAGAGAGAAAGTTCATTATACATTCAAGAAGATAACACTAATGCATGTAGAGAA